AAAAATACATCAGGTAGTAGGGCATGATTAAAGTACTCCACAATGGCGTTGTTTAAGTAACGAAACACTGGGAAATAAGAACGACCATCAATCCTTTTTTGAAATGTCCAATGTACAGGAGGACACAAATGAGTTTGAAAAAGAGTAAATAGTAAGTAAATGGTAAAGTGCCATACCCTTATACTTTACGTCTTTAAATCCAATAACGCATGGACGAGTCGTACACAAGACATCGATTTCTGTATCTGCATTAAGTGTAGAAGAGTAAGTATCTTACTACAGCAGGCTTTTCGCTTCATTTGTTGTCAGCAACGGCTTTCGCCAAAGTTGCCCTATGTCACCCATCCTCTACAATTGTGCCATTGGAGATGTCCTCCAACGAGTATTGAAATGCGTCCAAACTGCGGTATGGAACTTCTCTCTGACAAAAGAGTCGCCGACTCGAACTACGCCAACAAAAGCACTTTGCTTATGGACGATCTAGAAACTGTCCTGAGTCCTTCGAAACTAGTAGCGATTAAGGCGTCTAAGTATTTATTTTTCACCCCAGGTAAGTGGAAAATACAAATTCAGAACTAACAGATGAATGGGCCTGCCATCATCACTGCAGATGATGGCCTAGAACAATTACATTGCTTTACTTAGCTAGCGAGTTGCATCAGGGCTTGGCAGCGGTATTGCAGATGGGGTCTCTCGACGGATCGTAAAGGCCAGCATTGCATTCATCAGGCCGAGACACTTCTGGCGTTGTCCCGATGCCAGTGTAAAAATCAAGAGCAAGTTGTATATTTCCGCTATCCGTGCTCTTCTCTTGTACGGTTATGAGACGTCATTTCGTTCGGAAGACTTGAAGCTATTGTTAGTTTTGATAATTATTATGTGCATAGGACTGCTCGCGTGGGATGGCAACATCACGTAGGGAACACAGAATTCCGAGATCGAGTGCTTGGTGCTGACAGACCCTGGTTCCAGAGTGTTATTCTCTGAAACTGCACGAGTTGGGTAGGAGATTTATTGCACATGCCAAACTACTGCTTTTCCCATGGATTGTTAGTTCCGCTCCCCGGAAGCGATCGGCAAATGTGCCGCGGTGAGCCATTAATGACGTGGAGAGGGAGCATGAAGAAGCCAACAGGCTTAGCATCCGTTGGATCGGTCCGCCTTACAGGATGGAAACCACGCGACTCGGACTGTCAGTGGTTGTAAACACTGGAGGTTATGGCGCGCAACAGACATCAGTGACGACAGTGTTGTGCAACCGCATCATTTGTTAATGTCTCATCCCACATATACATACACACAAAATAGCTCAAAACGGCGCGCGCAAAACCCAAAAAATCGTTTTACTTTTGCTATTGTTTTTCCTTTTCCACATTTTGCCGTGCTTTTGATGACACCTTTTGTGTAATCAGGCTGTGACTATCTATATATACTACTTTTTGAGTTCAATGAGTTGTAAAGGGCAGAAGGGTAGTCCCATGCTAGCCCCGATGTCTTCGGATCAGCAAGAGAAGAAGTGAGCCATAGCGACACAACAGTCCTCAAGTGGCTAGGGAGGTCACAGCGGAACAGTGTTGTCCAGGCATCTTGCGCAGATGGGAATTGCAAAGCCGCTTGAAACTTTCCTCAGTCTGTGCGCTGACGACGATTTCTAGGAGGCTGTTCCAGTCGCTTACCATCCGCGTAGAAAGGGTGACGGCAGAGCAGACTCGGAGCATCCTACGTTTAAATAGTTTTCAGTTGTGACCCGGTAATGGGCCTCCTATGTTGCGTTGGAAAAACTGCTGCAGTTCATTTTCAAGTTCCCTCTTAGTATGCGCCTGGTAAAAATATGCTCCACGGCCGCGACGGTAGTCCAGTGAGAAGAGGTTCATCTGTTAGAGTCGAAGAGGTTAAGAGGAATCCCGAAATCCGAAGATAAACTTTGAGCCTCGTCCCTGGACGCTTTCTAGTGGGATACATCCTAGCTTTGAGAGCGGAAGCATAGCCGGTAGACCGTACTCAAGAATAGGTCGTGCATAAGAGGTAAATAATATTCTTAAAAGCTTTTGTGTCGTCCTCTAGAATGATCTCTTTATGGCAGCCCACATCCTGCTAACAGCAACCACTCTCTTTATGACTTGATCAGTGTCAGCTTGGATACTCTAACCATGAAGGTTAGGGTTTATGAATCAACCGCGTATTAATCAAAATATTCTCCCTAACAGCTTCCAAATGTCATAGCTTCAGTCTTATTTGCCGAAAGTATTGATTTTGGGGACCAACCCTCTTGTCCGAAACTATCGTAAAGTACATGGCAGTAAAGGATGAGTCGTGCTATAACGCAGTTAGCTTGTAACTCATGACTGTTTTCCACCTTCATCTGCGCACCAGTGATGTGTGCTGATCTCTGGTGGCGGAAGTTGCTAGGGTTGAATGGCCATCGGCTTGGTTCCTGATGGAACCGGAAGATGAGCAGAACTGACGAGACCTAATGGGGAGAAACAGTCGACCGGTGCTCTTACTGATGCATTGTCTGTCATTTGGCTTGGAAGTTACTGCGATGAGCTCACAATATAATAACATCAAAAGCCACCTCTAAATAGCAACCAAGGCAAACGTAGTTCAGCGGTTAACGCATCCACGATTTGTAACTTCTCCAAATTGTCATAACCACACAGCTCATGCTGAGCAATATGTCCTTTTACCAGCACAATTTCCCCCACAAATAATTTCCATCCTGTGTCAAATCAGGAGCACTTGCAGTGTTTTACAGTGTGTTCATGGTTTCAAAGTGTACCTTGGTGCTAAGTACTAACAGCCGTCTAAATGCTCGATAAGAATCTGTGTGATCAGTAGAGCTCAGAGTGGATGCCATGTATAGAGATTAGGAAAACGATACTAACGATGTTTATTTGTTCGCATACATTTATTTCGTTGTCCGCTTGTGTATTATGTTTATAGAATTATACATGCGAACCTAAGCAGTTGCTTGTGCATCTCCTTTCCAGAATCTCATTTCACATCGCAACTTCCAGCGTTTCGAGTTGACGGTGTTCTATATCCTTGGATCTCCCGCCAGACAGGCTTGCGGGATCAGCGATGACTATACCGGACATGATGGGATGAGAGACACGCAGTCTTTTATTACAATTTGTTACGAACAGATAAAGTTCGGTGTGAGAAATGCTTGCATGGCAAACACAAGACGTAACCGAGCCAGTCCAATTGTACCAAAGAACTGAGCATACAGAACTGGAACGTCGTATTTCACGAGCTCTGGACATGGCGTTATCACCTTAGTAAGCACAAACTATCAAAGTTTGATAAATTCCATTAGCATGAGTCAGCCAGGAATCGTTTCCATCCAACGCGGCTATCAAACAGAAGCATTGTATACCATATTCATAAGCAAGAGTAAGGTACCCCGATGGAATATCGAATACCTGTCTGGCCAACTCTTACGGACTTTGGCGATAATGCAATGTAGCATTTTACTGACAGCAACAGCGGATGAAACACAATTCTACATGTAAGGTGTTCTGTTTCCTTTGTGTCGTTTCGGTTACAACCCACTACTGCGTTCGCAAACCTTCCTTTAGTTTTGCGCGCTTACATTTCAACAGCCAACCTGTTCAGTTTGTATGCCTTTAGGTGTGAGCAGGAGAATAAGGGAGTACTAGTTCGGTAGTAGCAGTGCATATCGAAGAGAGTAATGGCATAACATACTTATACCCTCAATCTCCAAGCAACCGTAACTGCGTTGGTTACTCGAAGTGGATTGCATGATCACTTGGAAGGTGACCGTTTTCAAAATTTTCACAACTTTGCAGAGTTCTCTACAAGAAATCCTCCTTTGCAAAGTCAAGGACAAATAGTGACATGGTACACCTTCACTATACGCAAGTAGTGACAGCCAAGGAAAAGAAGGCATCAGCAGTATTCCGATACGCAGTACAGAAGCTTCGCTGCCGCGAACTACCATTAGCCGCAAGTGGGCCAAATATACTGCGAACGTCGCCCGGTCCCTACGCAAGCTAGAACCCACGCCCTCAAATTAAAAGGCAGGTTTGTGACGCTTAAGGCTACGGGTTGCGACAGCCAAGGAAGTAAATATGTTATCGTGAATCACCTCGTTCTTCCTGAAATATTGGTATACACTGCTCCAAAGAAGACTCCGGTAGTTGTAGTTGGCCGGATTGAGACGGTTTGAACCCTGGCTGGAGCATGAAGATCAAGCATCCTATGTTAAGAGTGGGCGTTGACAAACTTGGTTGAAGAGGTAAGTGCATTTACACCATAATAGATTTTGAAAAATCTACAAGCTAGCTGTCTACTAGTTAATGGGCTGCAGTCCTTAAACAGTTCCGAATGAGGTCAGTCTAGGCCCGGAGCCCTGTGTCACCTTGGGTTGTGAATCTCTAAGCGGATCTTTGTTCACGCGACATTCTAACCGGTGGTGGGATCGTTCGGGCATCCAACATCATTCGCGGGCCGTAGATTTGCGCATGCCGACCCTGGATAACCCAGCCGTTATGCAGCCGCTGGAAGTTGATTGGCAGCGAAATGTTGGTACGTGGCACCGACGTACTATTGGTTCCTTCCTCTCTTCTTGTGAGATTAAACTAAGGACTGTGATCACGCGTTCTGGCCATATATCTTGACCATGACTGACATTTATAATAGAGGTGAAAGTGCTCAATTCAGCAATGCAAGTGCCCTAAGAGTTTGTGATTGATGATTCGTTCTGTTCCGATTAGCTATCCGACGCCAAGCCTCCTGTCAATAATGACCTGAATTAATTAAAGCGACTCTCAAAACTCCGAAGTGTGTTGGAATCACGAAGGCGCGCGACCGCCACACTAGTTTTATTCGTGAATTCGGCTAGGTGTGGTATGGTTCACTATGATCCGATCAGCAACAGCGGTTCTGCGGAAATCGAGCTTTTTTGCAGGGATGTGCGTCTAAAGCTTTTTGTGTGAAATCAACACACTTGTGTAAGCATGCTTCAAACAACTCACCGGCGCTTGTCTGTTGCATCGATTCATTTCTGTTCTGGGTAATTTTTCGTGCTTCCTGGATAGATTTTCAAAGAAACACAACGATACACATGGTTGAAGAATGATTGCATTAATCAAGTTCATTATATTAATCTGCACACTTTTGCTCCAGTAATAAAATGTAACTATACGGTTGTCAATTACTGGAAAGTACTGACTTCATACAAGCATATGGTGAATAGCAAACTGAACATCACTATCTCTAAAAGGTGAGAAATGAGAAGCGTACATAAAATCACACTTTAAGCTGGATAATCGACGACAAATAAGTAGTCGTTTTGATGTACTGGATAAAATATTGGCATTGTGGAAGAACAAAAATACGATAGTGTGGTGTGCGGAAAAGAGTTAGAGATAGAGTAACCGTGATATGTCATGAAAGAAACACATTCACTTGAAGAAAGATGCTACTAAAGAAGTGAACCGCGCGTACGTTGTCATAAACAAGATATTCGCCGTGACACATGTTAATTTCCTGCTTAAGTTTCATGTGCTTCGGCTGGTGAACACAGAGATCATCTGGGTTATTTTGTCACTCAGAGGACACGAGTCATATCACGTACTGCAAATGGCTCAGTAGGTTGTCCAGTCATCTTTAAAATGAACAAAGTGGGTTCTCAAGTGACATAAGTCGAAAGAACTTTCAATGTTGACGAATTCAGACCGACAAAACTTCCAGTGGCATTCCAATTGACAGTGTTAGGTGATCAGTTTCACATGATAAATACACATCTAGGTGCTTTGGCTACGTTTCCGGAGGTAGTGGCCAACTTGATTAAGGTTCTCAAAATCTGGTAACCGTCGCCTACACAGTAAAACCTACCACATTACTCTCCTGGAACTTTTAACCTATGTTGTCATGGGGCAGAAAACATTCCCCTTACATTCCTGGCCGTCGTTCGTACTGGAGTCTTAACTGCAGTAAGATCCTACTTTGACCATAACTACTAGATGTGAACAGCGTACTGCAAGTGGAGCACCACGTAGGTGGTTTGGCTTTTGCAGAATGATGGTAAGGTAAAGCCGCCCGAGCACCCTCCGCTAGCGACCGAAGTATCAGCTGTCGGTTTTCAGCACTGTAACGGTTGTCTTGAGCAGGTGGTCATTTTGCAGCACGGCTCCAAGGTGGGGACATTGCGAGACGATCGACAGAATGTGCTCTTCGAACATATACATGGTGTTTAAGGGATGAGGTACACGAACAAGTTGGAACTTACTCGTGTTAAAAGCGATCGGGTTCCTTTTTAAATTAATAACTATATGCAAGGTGGGCAAGATACATGAAGCAAATATGTATTAAAATGGACTGTCGCACAAACATTTCATTATGCCGTCTAGCGCTCGGCTTTGGTAACCGGAAGGTAAAGTGAAAGAACCCACATGTCATGACATAGCACACTGGGAGTTAGCAACTCTTCCTTCACATTGTGGGCTATATAATGTTGAAGATCGTTGTTTGTGGAACATAGCTGATATATAGAGGTTTATCGTCTCTGTAGTGTTGTGTATACAGCCAAGCACCAAGTGAAGATGGTAAGGTTTGTTCTTTAGGCAACAACCAGCGCTGTATAGGCTGCGTTGATCAAGACACTTACCACGTATGCCAAGTCAATTTTTACCAAATATATATATATATATATATATTCACAATCAGACAATGTGTCATCCGACCCATGACATAAAGCAGGGAAGAAGTGAAATACAATAACTAAAGGAAACTAATTATCTTTTGGCTTTTCATATACCTTTCTGAGTACTTTGTGTTTGAGTAGAAATTAACTAAGGTTTAATGCCGCAGAAAACACTGCAGCCGCTGCTATCTGTTAGAAACTATAGCGTCGAACATTTCCAACCACTGGGTGTCAGAGTCTGGTGGTCCCCAGGTTGAGATACCGACCGACCTTACTGACACCAAGCATGAGGTTGATTTCTTCACGCTCCTTATCCAAGTCAGTGGTTGTCCGCTGTGGCACCTCTTTTAAGCACTTACAAGAAGAGCAAATAACGTTATGCAGAAAAGGCGATAGATTGGCATGCGCAATACATGGCTCAGCCAACGCATGCAATGTCGAAGAATAACGTTCTGGAAGTAGGGTCTGTTAGCACCAAGCACTCGATCTCGGAATTCTGTGTTGCTTACGTGATGCTGTCATCACACAGGAGAAATCTTAAGCAGATAATGATTGTCAAAGTTGACAACCACTTCATGTCTTCCGAGCTAACACAGACAAGGTCTGATAACCGTACAAGAGGAGGGCACGGGTAGAGGAAATAAACAACTTGCTCTTGAGTTTGAGACTGGCATTGTGATGACGCCTGACGTGTCTCAGCCTGATGAATGCAATGCTGGCCTTTGCGATCCGTCGAGAGACCCCATCTGCAATACCGCCGCCAACCGTGATGCAACTCGCTAGATAAGTAAGGCAATGAAATTGTTCTAGGCCATCATCTGCAATGATGATGGAAGGCACACTCATTTGCAAGTTCTGAATTTGTATTTTCCACTTACCTGGGGTGAAAAAGAATTACTTAGGCACCTTAATCACTAATCGTTTCGGAGCACTCAGGACAGTTTTTTGGATCGTCCATAAGCAAAGTGCTTTTGTTGGCGTAGTCCGAGTCGGCTAGTCTTCTGCCAGCGAGAAGTTCCATACTGTAGTTTTAGACACTTTCCATTGCTCGCTGGACGACATCTTCAACGGCATGGTTGAAAGGATAGTTGGACTATGCAACCTTGGCAAACGCTGCTGGTGACAGCAAGCGAAAATGAAAGCTTGTCATAATAAATGATTATTTCCGATGCTTGACTGTACGGTACCTTCAGAATGGCTACAAGGTTGCCGGACACAATCTTCGGCTTCGGTAGGGATCGCCCTAAACGCTAGAGCCGAGGCTGAATTTCTTGACTGGATTCCAATCAACAGTCGTCTTTGTGTTATGGAGCGCCATGATCCTTGTAAGATTTGCAGTAATTGAGCAGAAAAGAGAGCACGTTTTGGGATCTCCACTTAAGCGCAGACGGTCTGCAACTCTGGTTCAGACCAGAGCCAGTTCTATCGACATCTAAATGAGCTGTTCCTAAAGGTACCTAAAACACACACCTTTGTTATGACAGGAGACTTTAACTCACATATCCGTCGATTGCTGCCATGCGAACGCCACATCAGAGGGCCGCGTAGGTCTGACATTGTTCGCTCTGGCAACGGAGTCCGCTCAATCTATGTGCCGAACACTAACTTTCCCTCTCGAACGAGCTTTCGCCAAGCTGCCACCCAGCGTCCTCCATCGTCAACGTACCGCTGGTCATAAACGGAGCACACAGCCAAAAAGACATAAGCAGTACACCGATACGCAGTACCGAAACTACGTTGCCAAGCAACCACAACCAGTCGCACGTGAATTAAGGAAACTGCAGGCCCAAAACCGCGCCCTCGGATTACAAGGCAGGCTTGTGATCCTTATGGCTACGGGCCGCCTACATAGCCATTAAACGCAGGTGACGCAGTAGCGTACTCAATTGCTGAGCATTATGGCCAGCTTACGTTGAAACTGATCATGCAATGGTGCATACGCCAGTTTACATACCTTTCAGTGCCTCACCTTGGGTAGTCAATGCCCTCTCGTAGTGGATACAGCCGCGTTCTATTTGACGGATATAATACGGGGTAAGGCTAGAGATAATCAAAAGTTGCTTTAACAAAGAAAAATAATGTCACTGGAGACTAAACTGGGCGTTGTTGATCTTCATGTGCTGGTGCGTGCAGTAGCACTGTGCTGATATTCCTGCCTTTTTATATTAACTCACCGTGTTGCTGTACACCATTAAGTTGACACGCAGGTTGCGTCAATTATATCAGCCACAAACGATCAATAATTATTTCTGGATTATTCTTGTCGCCTTGACGTCTGAATCACAGCTGTGATTGTGTCGGATATTTTACCGAAGCTTGCGCGCATCAAATCTAGTGCTCAAGTACCTCATGGATTAGTTTACATTTGTTCGAGAGAGCTTTCTTGCTGCTACCTAGCTAACCGGAAATCGCCTATCTCCAATGTTAGTTGCAGTAGCCCCCTCGCATTCTGCAGTGCATTGTAGTTTACCAAGCAGTCAGCCGGAACCGACCGACAGCCGAATAATCTGGTTTACCGGTGCACGTGCGTTTCACATCACACTGACCAGCAGAGCCACACTGAGCGCTGGTCCGCGTTCAAGTGACCTTTCTGACCACATAGCCGCTTCGATGTGGTATGCTCCCCGACCAAAGTAGGAAAGGTAGAGAACATCAGCCGGCTCACTAGATCAGGTGACGACGCTATGCTGAGTAGCAGGTAACAAGTAAATGCGGATCTAACTGGGACCCGGGTTCAAGGGACCTGTGGGGCGGAAAAACGTAATCGATTAGTGGATTTATGTTTACTATGTCCACCTTGTTCCAACTGCTTTCGCTAAAAGTGTTACTTTATCCTACCGAGTGGTAAGGGAGTATAACAGATCGTCAGACTTTATCTGTACGGCGAGTCTGACAGTATTATCATTCAGGTGCAGTACGCTTTACGGCGCGTGACCACAGAAAAAGACTTAGGTATCATTGTGCAAGAAAGTCTGGGGAATTCGCTCCAATGTTCCAAAGCAGCGAACGTGGCGAACATGAACCTGAGACTTTTGAGGCGAGCTTTTGGTGTTTTTGAACGACGGCTGGTACCCATGCTTGTCAACTCCTATATCCGTCCCCACGTCGAATATGCCGTCCAGGCTTGGTGCCCATGGTTAAAACGAGACATTCATCTCTTAGAGCAGCCCCAACGAAGAGCTACCAAGGCAACACGCGGATTATCTGGTCTCAATTATGAAGTGCGTCTCAGTTTAATCGGAATGTTTTCCTCCGAATACCGACGACTACGCGGAGATCTCATTCTCGCATACCGGATATTAACGGAAAGCGATCACCCGTGCAAATCGCTGCTCACCCTAGCCTCATATAAGCGATCGAGAGGTCATAACCTCAAGCTGATAATCCAACACTCCCGATTAGACTGTAGAAAATATTTTTACTCTCTTAGAATCTGTTCACAATGGAATGACCTGCCAACGTATGTGGTAAACGCTCCGAACATTACAGCCTTCAAACAATTGTTAGACATTCATCTGAGTGACAAACAACACATTGTGGTGTAATGTACCAGGTTTAGACTATTGGCATTTCAGTTCCATGTCGGAATCAAATGATTTGTACTTATTTTGCATTTACCATCCTATGGGTCTTGTAAAGCCAATGCTTTTTATCCCATCATACACTATTGAACTATTGAACTATTATTAGACTCTTTAAGTCCGACCGTTTAACAGCATTGCCGAATAGTGTATGAAAGATATGATAACTTCACTGGAAGCCAGTATATGCCAGAGAAGGGTAGTGCCCTCTAAGCAAAGGAAGGGTGTAAAATTTGCTTCCACATCGCCGTTGTCTCCAGCAGTGTTTGTAGAAAGTCAGGCGAAATAACCCATTGATCTGATAGTCAAGTGATGCCATGGACAACAAAAAGCAGGCATCAATAGAAACGTGTGAGCGATCGAATTCTGCTGGTCTTAACAACTTCTATCTTTAACAAGATGTGACAGCTAAACATTAGCCCACTGCATCTGCGGCTTAAAGGTCCGTTATCGAGCACAACTCCCCCGTGACAACAGGCACATATGCAGAGATTGCTACGATCGTCACCCGGGATGCCACACTTGCAGTCTCTTCTGTTACCATACCTCTGGCGCGAATAGAGTGCCAAACAGTAGACAATTACCACTTTTCCGCAAACCAGAACCAATGATTACCCGAAAAGTCAGCTAAAGGAACAAAGAATCAATCATTAATGCCACGATTGTTGTGTGAGTAAAGTTGGCTGTGTCTACTGACATCATATTTCCGGTCAAGTTGTCTGATGACGGACGAATCGAACTTATTGTATATTTTTGTTGAACCTCAAACCCAAACCCACTAACGGCAAATTGCGGCGAGCCCAGAATTATTGGAGTAACTAAAATCTGGCAATGACGTAAAGGAGGTTCTGCCTTCTGCAAATGCGCATCAACGCGGTTGTTGTGGGATGCGCATCTATCCTTACATCGAATACGCATTTCAAGCCTAGCAACAACAGTTAATACATGAGCCAAGTTACATTCGAACCTGTAGCGGAAATTGTGTTGCAACCAAATGCGTTTCAAGTTACTCACTTGAGGCTTTTGCGTAGGACAAATGAGCGAGTTCGTTGAATCAAGTTGGTCGGAATTAGTACCACTCTGTTTGATAGCGCTCAAAGGTCGACTTAGAATATCATTGCAAAACGGCTGGCCGAAAAGTGAGCGGGCATGCGTCAAAGGTGTGATAGGCCTCTGCGTAGAGACTGCCTGAAGCCATTCCCGTGACTCACGAATGATTTGAGAAGCTGTTGACATGTTGTCCGGTAGCGCGTAAAAAGAACGCGATTTAGAAGAGGAGCGAGAATGTAGGTATTTTGCAGAGGAACTCATGATTAGCTTCTATGCTCCGCCAGCGCCGAACTTCCTGGAATGGATTAGAATGATAGGGTTTAAACAAGACGCCATTAGTTCACGTACAGGATTGACATCAATCGGTTATGAAGAAATATGATGGTTAGGATCTTGCATGAAGTATACAAGCAGTGCTACGATAGGTATAAACGTAGAAAGGAAGTTGAGCACTGTCTGTTTGCTAGATCCTCCCTGTAATAGATGAGCAAAAATCCCACAAGTTGCAACGCCTTTGGGACGTTTGCACTAAACTGTGTACACTTGCCACGTTTATGGTAACAGCAAAATTTAGGCAGTCCTAACCAGAATGAAGTAGGCACTGGAGCATAGCAAATTTACTGAATCACTTAGGGAAAATTTTGTCTGAACAGATATGGTGGTGCATCAGACCGTCGATGTTTTATAGAGAAATACAAAATCAATACTCTATTTGCAATTGCTTATGAGCTTGACGATTAGGAAAACGTATTGAACCACGCAATGATGTATTCTATAAACAGGTTTACTAGCACTTCACAATCACTTGATCTCCATCTGCTGCCGGACGGATAGGGGGCATTGCAATGCTGCCTAAACCTTCGAACCAACAGCATGTAAGACAAGGCTGGTGCAATTGAATACTACTAGACTAGGGGTGTCCAAACTATTTGCAACGAAGACCATATTGTGTGAGGTAAAATTATGTCGGGCCATCATCAGTCTAACCTTAAGATACTAACAAAAATTAAACATGTACGAAAAAGTCCAAGCCTGTGTTTATTAGTTCATGATAAGGCCGCGGGCCAGTTGAAATGTTAACGCGAGCCATATTTGGCCCGCGGGTGGGACTTTGGACATCCCTGCACTAGACAAATAGATTTTGTCCGCTTCTGAACAACGCTGCATTTACTTTCGATTGTTATACGTAGTACAGGAATACAAGGTAATTAATTTCTTTGCCTTTTCGCACTAGATCTTTATGTCTCCTACGTCTGTTAATGAGGCCATGTTAGCAAACTCGGTTGGCGTAATGCGTTAAATAGAGATATCTCATTACAAACTGGAAGGCCAAAATTTAGCTACGTCGTAAACTAGAATAAGCCCATGTTTGAAATAGTCCAACTCAATAAAATAGATTTACTACAAGTCAGATTATAACTGACAGTAGACAATCTTTGACGTCATTTCAGCTCATGTAACTCACTGCTCAGTATTGTCTGTCGAAAGAGTATGTATGTCAGTAAGAGATCGAAGGAAAGATAAATTATTTCAATCATGCGGACAGATTACTTCGCATGGCAGGTAGATTTTGTCTGCGCAACCTTTTGATGTCCAGTGAAGAACTATGTGACGTTTGCGAATTGTTGTGCACTCAGCTGACATGTAAAGAAATCGATAGCCCTTTTATTCTGCAACTGTTTTGAAGACCCCATTGGTGATAAAATCAACCTTCCAGCATCTTATATGGTGAAAGTTCTGCTAGAGCAGAGTGAAAGCCGATGGTTCAGTATAAGCTGTTAATCAGGCTGTAACGAAATTCCGTCAACATTTCATGCAGCCACTTCCATTCAAAAATTTTAAGAAGCAAGAAAAAACAAGATTTTTACTGGATAACCTAACTTCAGATTATTTCGTGTCTTCTCATTCAGCCGCTTAAAGATAAGTCGCGGAAAGTGTAAAGGAATGCAACTGCAAAGCGGATCAATAACGAAATCAATAAAACACAGAAAATCTAGGTCATGACCCACGTCTTACCAGGACAAGTCAAGACTAGCCACAAGGTCGACCTGTCTGCAAAGGTTAGGTCACATTCGCCGGATGGTCGAGGTTTCAGCGAAACGAAGCAACATTGTTAGTTCTGTCACTACCGTATTCTATGGGACGATGACAACACGCCACCAAATTTGCATACAACCTAACAACCGATGGAAGCTATAGAGTAATTAATCCCTATGGCCCTTGCGCCGCTTCTGTTAGTCAATTCCCTGGGAGGCCTTCTAGTCATATGAATACCTATGTGGCATACACACGAGGTTATCATCTTCGGGAACGGTAGTGCAGTTGTTGTCGAGCAACGGTTATGTGCACAGCTTCTCTGCATGGATAAAGGATCTCGTCAATGCACTTCAATACCTACAAGGTGCCAGATTTATTCATAATACAATTGCGCACACTGATAAGAACCGCTGCTAAAGCTAGTTGGGTAATAAAAATAAGTAACATTTAAGTAGTTCCACCAAAGCTGTTACAACTTAGCTCAGCCTGTTAAAAAAACAACCGCTAATATGGCTAATTTGGAGCCTTTAGATCAGCGATATCCAAAATCCGGCCAGCCGGCCAAATGCGGCACAGGCTAAAGTTTCAATTTGCTCCGGGCCTCATCATGAAATACAAAATAAAAGCTTGGATTTTTTCGTAAAAACGACATTACTAGACTACACAAAAGTTAGGACGTTACGAGAACAAAATTAAATGGCGTCAGTTACTGGCGAAAATCAATGAGGCAGTATTGTTTATCTGTACTCGTCAAGGAAAACTCAATCGATTGCTTTTACTACATGGGTCGTAACCAAATCAAAAAATAAAAAGATAAGTTCGTTACCTGTATATATATACGTAAATTAAACGTAAAATATACTTTCTGATCCCCTGAACTTATCTGGGATCTTTTGTTAACAACTTATTTCATATGCTAGTTAATCTAAGATTTTTGTCACGTTTCCTTATGCATTACTCGCTTTCTTTTCTTTGTTAGCTTTCTCTCAATTGATTGGCCGTTGCCTGATATTCCCGGTGTGGCTGCGCTTGATGTGCATGTTGACAAGGTGCCTACCTCTCTATTACCCACTACCTGGTCCATACCGGCTCCAGGAGACATTTGGTCGTTGCTGGAGGGGACGGGGTGCACGGTCCTTGTGGTCGTTATAGGCACGAAGAGTGGTTCCATGCACTCAGTGTGGAGCGGACTACGGTCCAGCCACTGCCTTGTGTGCGCTTGCTTCCCGAATACAGCGTGGTTGTGTTTGCCTGTGAAGGAGTGTGGGCCGGCTCTGTTGATGAAACGTGGCTCCCATCCACATACCTCCCGGTCTTATTCCTTCTGGTTTACACTGGATATGGGGTGTGCGTATGGAGCTGTCGGTGGTGCTGCGTAAGTCACCCATGGTCCCTCTATAGGCGCGGGCGTCCTGTGGCTGGCCACAGTGACAGGCAAATCCGGAACCGAATGCCGCCATCCATATATATATATATATATATATATATATATATATATATATATATATATTCGAGATATATTATGGAAACAAGTGTCGGAATTAGAATTGGCCTATCTGTGGATTGAGTTTGAAGTAGGTTAGTCCAACTTTGGTGGTACGGTAGTGCTTTATTTCCTAGTTCATTGAAAATACGGGAGTCATCCCCCGTGTTATTCCCTTCATTCCTCATTGGCCCGGAGACGCAGTATATCCACCGTTCAACGCGGTGTGAAGCGAACCAATCGCGTAGGGTTGCTGGATCAATTTAAAGAGGCGAGACAATTCTGCGCAGGTCTTTGTATTGTGATCGTGCCAAACGATGGAAATTGAGATGATTTGCCTGCTTTCTGTGCCTTGCAAAGACCCGGTTGTTCTGAAACTGAGGTAGGTACATATTGCACTTCAGTTTTACTTTGTTTACTTGTTCCGTAAATAACGTCCGGGCTTCGTTTCTTGATTGGACCTGGGAGTACATGTCACTCAGGTCGTAAGCGAATCTGTCGTTAACATAAATAACTTATCGCCGCAGTAGAGTAGACAGCCACATTTGTCTACAGTTCAGCAATTAGATGTTATGCAAGCTAATTCTTACAAATTTGCCAAAACATTTTGCACGCCTTTTCGGAAGCCGAATGTAGAACAGGGAGCAGCAGGATTTACTAGATGTGTTATTGATGTGATAACGTCAGAGGCTATCAGAGAATGAGTGAAATTATTGCCTTGCAACATATATAGCAGACGACATCTACAACATATACTAACGATAATACGTCGCTGTTTTACTGTACTACCTTTTGGTGCATTACCCCACCTGGTAAATCCAATGATGAGATTTGTTTTCTTATTCCTCTATCTGTCTCCATCTCTTGTTGATGCTCACACTTCTGACAAAATTTAAGGTTGTCATTTATGTTCACATCGAAACATTAACCAACTACCGACAGTCGTCTTGATTGCTTATAAGTGTACGTGCCATTTTCCAAAAGTCGAGGAAGATGGCTATTATTCTTTCATTCAATCCAAAGTCATGCATGTACGTAGTGTTATTAATGCTGGGGCTACTTTACCTAAATTCAGTTTGTGGTAGTGTATACACACTTGTGAACAAAGCCCGCTCGTAACACTGCCATGCTGCAACTCGAACTAGGGACCTTTGGTGTGTCAACTGATATCGTTACTTGCAGCCACACCCGGGAAGTTCAATCAACATCAAGTACAATGATTAAATGGTAGTCATTTAGGAACACTTGTAAGCGCCACATTTCCGCTTGACAGACTGACAGCATTTCCGCAGGCGTGACACCATTATCAGAGGTCAAACTGGCGCTAGCCAACATTACAGCTAGCACTAACGTCCATTCATGTCTCGTTACATTCCCATTTGACAGATGGTTCATATTATATTTCATTTTGTGTGATATCGTGAATTATTGCTGGTTGCAATTTGATGTCAATGTAGCCAGGTCCAGTGCCCCTGTACTTCGCACTAACATTCAGACAAGTGCTCACTTTTGATTCACGGACAGCGGCAACACGATGTGACATCAAGTCGAAATGCTTGAACACAGGTAACAATCACGGCACTGGTGAAATGGTCGATATATGCTAGCGCAGAGAACGGGTGATCAAAGGGACCATAAATAGTCACACACCACTGACAGCCTGGTGGTTCCACATACATGTGAACTCTCGCTTACCTCCCAGACAAATGACGATCGGACCGGCTCTGACGTACCTTCTGACACAATTAGCCTGAAGTTAATATAAAAGACGGCATTCACAGCGCACACCAAGGATAATTCACCAATGATCCACTGTGCTTCTACTTCGTTGTTAAACTGAGCATAGCTATAGTTCCCGTTCTTTTCCCTGGGACTTTAACTTAACTGAGCTTATACAAAGCAATGGACTTAATAGCACCATTTCCCTGCTAACTTGTAAAGTTGCTTACTCCATCTCCATCATCTTTGTGTCATCCTTAGTCTATCGCTCAGTTAAGTCGCGCTTGGGTACAGTTTCACTCTAAGATGCTTGACTACTGACTTGGTACAACGCAGTATCTGTATTACAACTTTATCGGGCTTATTTAACTCGGTTGTATTTCGCGATGACTTCACGTGTTGCTTACTACACTGTCATACTCATCATGACCTATGGCATTCTTGCTACGTTCTCAAGTGGAGTCTATTGCGGTGACGTACAGAGACGGTGAGCTATGGTATCGTCCTTTCCGTATTATTATTCGGCAGCGATTCGCAGTACTATGTAAGGTTCATGGTATTACTCATCAGACGGACCATAGCGACAATCGTAACGGGACCACTGAATGGCTTCACCCGAAAAGTACGATGCAGATTGTTGCCAAATAGTTTATGACCACAGCAGAGTACACAGTGGTATGTACAAAAGGTTGAGTATGTGAATGATAGCCATGCTACATTTTGGACGTTTGCAATACAGTGCGGACACTGTTTTGAATTCCGAATGTTTGCCAGTAGGCAGCGGGTCTTGGTTTATGTATCGCTGGGGTGGTTGCCATAACAACGAGGCCGTAAGCGGTGAATGCGCTATTGTCACCTATCAAATTTTAAGGGTACGCAACAACTGTTCTTTGAGAATGTACACATATCTCAATCAGCAGCAGATGAGGGGACCGGTCGGCCACACGGAGAGCCTGAAGTGAACACCCCATCGCATTTGCACGCTGTGCGATCTCCCCATTGGCTATTCTGATCTCCTGTCATTTTCCCTGAACTGCTTCAGGAAGACTACATCTTATTAGTGCGATATATAAAGCAAATTTTTAGATGGAGCGGCTTGCCTAGAGATTCTTTAGTCGATTCGATCATTTCTAGACATTTTGATGCATGCAATGATTTTCCTCCTAAGTTACTAACTGACCGATTTCATCCACTTCACAATGATCTCTCCAAAACGCTCTCTTTCTCTTCCACTTGATCGAAATTCAGAATTTTATTCTCCTGCACTTCATGATATCGTAATACGGTTTTGCCTTATGTTTGCTTGCTGACACAGTAAAAATCATCAACATGAGGCCGAGCAGTAGTTGTAGTAACAGTTCTGCTTTTTTCCCACTTTTCTAAACAAGCATGTATATTGGTATTACCATCCAATGGTCCGAAGTGGTAGTGTAAAAGCTGAAAATGAACCTATTAGGGTTTATAAAGCCGAAAATGACTAGATGTCATTTGAGGTACTCAGACTAAACTGTACATATAGAC